TTTAGTCTGGAAAAAATCCTCCGATGACGCAAAAATCGTCATTTTGCGATTTTTGTGCCAGAGGCTAAAGACTACAGCCAGTGTTCCGCATGTTTTCACCACGCCCATATGGGGCGGGATCTCACTAACAGAATGTAAAGATAGTGTCAGCCATCTTTCTGTAGAAGCTAAGCTAACAGGCTCTTGCCTCTTGGTCTGTGTAGAAAGTTTGTATAGTAGGCTAATTACGATGGCGGAAGATAGTTTTGAAGTTGAAATGGCAGAAGGGGATTTCGAAGATCTGTTGCGAGAATCTGATGCTCGCGGCTACCTGTACGAGCCGCAATACAGCGGTGAACAGTTGCGGGAGATGGAGGAACGAGGCGGCCGGAGCGAGACCTGAGCCCGGCCAGACTCGAGCTGGGGCGGACTGGCGGTGTCAGTGCTCTCGCTGTGCGCCTATGGAAAGAGATATAGTCCTATTGCTGTCGCGAATCTCAGCGATGCCATTTTCTTCTGGACTAGATCGTTGAATCCGCAGAGCTTTGAGTGTAAAATTGTTAATATTATTATTATTTTTTATTAAAAGTTATAACTCACATTGGTTGTGACGCCAGCGGATAAACAGTTATGGCACATTCACTAGTAGGGATGAAACATCAACAAATATGCTTTACATTGACTAAGGCCTGCCCATACTTTGACTACAAACTTGGTCCTCAAATCATTACGTATTTTGCAAAACATGTAACTTTATAACGTTGCACCCTTTCTATAAGTTATAAATAGCTAGTAAGATAATATAACAGTAACTAACGTAACAGTATGTAAGTAATTATTCTAGCGATATGTAGGCCTTATGCTAGATACGTTTTGTTAGTACATTCAGCAACATGACAAGCCAGCGAATTAGCAGGTTTCAATTGTTGCTTTGCACAGTGCGTGACATTTGATCTACATGTTATGCGGCTAGAGTTTTGACACCGAGTCAATGGGCTCTGTGTAATTCTTTCTTTTTCGCTTGTTTATCGTCGTCAGCCTTTTACCTTTTACCCACCTTTGTTTTATGAGCAGGTGTCACTCGAGAAATTGGCCGTTTAGGTTGTTTCTCCGCCATTAGCACAGCTGCGGCACGCCGGCAATCTTGAGTTTGAACGACGGCTCGCGCTGTGCAAGAGAGGGGTGTGATCAGCGCGTACACGAGCGTGATTGACACTGCTAAGACATTCCTCCTGGCTCTGATTGGTTGTTTCTGACCAGGAGCGTATATTTCTGCAAATGGCAGTAGGACCACTGGGACGAGCCAGAGGAGCTTGATTTTTTTCCACAGATTATCTGTCTCATATTCTAATGTCAGGACATAATGACAGTTGTAACAAATATGTAAAAAATACTTTTTTACAAAAGTTACCTACAGCAGCTTTAATATTGTGTATGCATGTACTTAGTCAACAAAAGCATCTATTTTCTTTCTTTAACATCAATGTGGCCTTTTCATAAGGACTCGTACTGTATGTGGCATAACGAGGGCCCATGGTGGCATAATTAAAAGGTCCAATCCATCCTTGATTTTCTCTTTATATTTGCTTCTCAAGGCTGTGAAGTTTCCATAGTCAAAATGTAATGAAATGCCACTTCTCAAGCTACTAATTGCTTTCCATTTCAACAGTCCTTAATAGGCCGCTATGAAAGCCTTACAATTAATTCTGAATTGAATGTCCTACTATGTCATCACCCTGACAACCAAATTCTTACAGCTGTCTGTCACAACAGCACATCCATTTAATGAACCCTTGCATTGCTTCAAACCAAATAGACACGACTGCTTTTTACCATGTAGTAGACGTGAGAGGAAAAATCACAAACAAAATGCCTCTCAAGTCTCTCATGTCACCTTATGTAGCCCCGCCCCTTTTCAGCGCTGCGCTCGTTGTCTTTTGTCTTCCGGTCTGTATTTTCACAGCGACCTTGCGTATTTATGAATGAACGGCTCGTTTTAAAATCTTCCCGGTCGACTGACATTTGTTAAGACATCTGCTTTAAACATTACAATCCTCATGATAACTCTCGTTAACTTTACATTAAGTAAATCCACTTCAAAAGCTAATTACTCCTGGACAGCAATGCCATAGAGATATACAGAGCGACGCAAAAACGGAAGTTCAAATATTCTAAAGATGGCTGCGCCCTTGTTTCTCTGGCGCATAAAGTCTATAGCCTGCAACGAGATTAAATAGAGATCAAATGGACATATTTTTTGTAAATCCTCTGTACTAAAGTACTAAATAAGTTAGAGAACTCTGGTCAATTTTAACATTGAGCTCATTTTTTTGTACATTTGGAGTGCTGTCAGTACAGACAAAAATGACAAAAATCGGTGTTGCCTACACCGTGTTATCCTCTTTTTAAAATTCGCACCCTGTTGACTTCAATGGGGCAAGTTCTAAACCTGCTTTTAGCCTCTTAACATCCTTGATTTGTCATTACAAGTGCACAGTGTGATTTGTCATTACATCGCGCGCGTGATCATTGGTAACTAATGATCGCGCGCGCAAACTCGACAATCGACTACTGTGGACTTCGAACGAAAACAGGAAGTAAATACAGGTATGTGAGCTGGCTGAATTAACCAATATTAACATCATTTTTATTAATATCTTTCACATCTACTGCAGTCAGATTGACCGTGGTCACTCTTAATAACACCACGCACATGGCTGTGCACTTGTAATGACACATTAAGGTTGTTAAGAGGCTAAAAGCAGGTTTAGAACTTGCCCCATTGAAGTCAACAGGGTGCGAATTTTAAAAAGAGGATAACACGGTGGAGGCAACACCGATTTTTGTCATTTTGCACATTTTTATTATTATTTAATATCTAAAACAGGTGCTTAATGCTTCAATTAAATATAACTTAGGACTCCTGTGTTATAAAAGAGAAACCTCATTAGTGTTAAGTATTTTTATACTACTATAGTATTTTTAAAATATTTTGAATTAGCTTTTATTTATATATATTTTTTCAGTTTTCCTTTGAATTGTAGCAATTTTGTAACAAAAAATGTGCTTAGTAGTTTTTATTTTTCCTTTAAAGAGCATATTGCAGGTAAAAAAAAATCTAAATTAATATATAACCTTGTATGAAAATACCATATGAAAAGTTAATGCAGGATTTAAAATGTTTTAAAACGACATAAGGGCACAAATTTAGTAGATAAAGTGAGCGTTTCTTGGACTGCTCGTAAAAACGGCTTTTTTTTTATTTTTCAAATCGCGTCATTTTACGTCACGCTAGGGAGCCTCAGCCTCGGCTCAGTACAGAGTAGGCTGGTGTTCAGTGAGAGAGGCCGTGAGTCAGTGTGTTTTCGGTAGTTTTTATATTTTAATTTATCATCGTCATGGTAAATTATTGTTTGTGGAGGTTGCAAAAACTCCGGCCTGTCAGGACATCGAGTCCACAGGTTTCCATAACAAGAAAAGGGACGGCCCTTACAAAAATAACCTACAGGAATCCTGCAGGAATATTATGCAGATTTCCTACAGGATTTTCAGCTCATTTTCCTGTAGGAATACCTGCAGGAATTTTATGAAGGAAAACATGCAGGAATTATATCCTGCAGGAATTATATCCCTGCAGGGTTTTAAAATATAATTTTCAAACTTCCTGTTGGACTGTTGTGCAGGATATGCAATTATGCAGGACTTTGCAAGTTGTCTTCTGCTGGATTAATGCAGGGGAAATAACTTCACAACAAACAATGTATTATTACACATTATTTATTTTATTTGTTGAAACTGCAGAGCAGAGAGAAGCGGAGTCCAATTCACATGCATGCAGCCAAATGTTGCTCTATCAGTTAAATGAAGCCTCTACACTGTTTTCCTGAAAAAAAGGGGGGAAAAGAGTTTAAAAAAGTGCTTTTGTTTTTGTGATATATGAGGACACATGTGTATAATGACATGCATATTACACTGGTATTACAACTTACACGTGATATATGAGGACATTGCATGAGTCCTCATATTTCAAATAGCTTAAAAAACATAAAAAACAATGTTTTTTTTTAAATGTAAAAATGCAGCATGACTCCTGTGATGGGCAGGTTTAGGGATAGGGGCAGTGTAGGGGGATAGAATATACAGTTTGTCCAGTATAAAAGTCATTACGCCTATGGAATGTCCTCATATATCACAAAAACACAGCTGTGTGTGTGTGTGAGAGAGAGCATGAGCGTGTGTGTGTGTGTGTGTGTAATAGAGAGCATGAGTGTGTGTGTGTGGTGTGTATGACAAATTATTACCTTACTCGTAACTTGTGCTCAACTTCTCTCTTAGTGCTGCCCTGATGAACTTTTTTGGAACATCCGGAATTTTTTTCTGTACTGTGTCTGTAAATGCAATTCTACTTATCATATGTGATAACATATGATTACAATTTTGCACTGTAACTGCAACATCATGTTTGCATAAAGAAAAAAAAGGACATTTTACTTACCTAGGATCAGCACAACTTTGTCCTGGTCAAGAGCTGGCTTTGCTATAGCGTCTTTGTTAGCATTGCCAGCTCTTCCAGACAGCCCATGTGTGGCCAACGTGTCTCTCCCAAACATTGCCACCGCCAGATCTTTCACCATGGCAGAACATGATGTGCCACCCCGACCACAACTTGTCAGGACAGTTGTACTAATTCCTAGCCCATGTGTCAGTCAAGAAAAAAAGTTAGGGACACTATATCTAAAAGCATGTAACGTTGACTACATACTATGCAAAAGTGTGAGGCTTGTTAGATTCTTCTACAAAAAAGTGATATAGTTTGCCAGCTGTTTTATAGACAAGGGGGTAATCAAGTTTGTATTAAGTTACCAAAGTTAAATGATACATGAAGAAATTAACATGGCTTCTACGACTTCTGCACAACACTTTACGTGAATATAGGCTATATAAACAAACAAATATATTTTTATTCACCTTTTCAGGGGGATTCTTCTGGCTTGAACTATGTTGTGGTTGCTGATTAACAGTAAGAGTGTCCTGTTTCATGCACTTGAGCATTGGAAGAATTTCTTTTAAAAAAAAAGAAAAAAGATTACTAACAGACTACCACACTGACAGATAAATTGATATATAGATGGATAGACAGAAATACAGATATTTGAAGAAAATAAAAAATACCTTGTTGCAGAGATATATTAAGTGCTCTTAGATTTTCATTTTCTTTTTTTAATTTGAGAATTTCTTTCTCAAGTCGAGTTTCTCGGCTTGAAGGCTCTCCAGCTTCACGGTCCATGTTGTTTATTTCCTGCATTAAAATACTATCCTTTCTGCGGATGACCTAAAGATGGACACACCATATTAGTATTGTTACGTGGATGAAAGGAGATGAACCCAAAACAGACAGAGTGCAACGAACAGGGGGTTTATTGGAACAAAACAGGAAAACAAAACCCACGAGGGGGCAAAACACGACTAGGACAAGGAATGGATGGCAGACTAGACTAGACAATGACTGTACAATAAACTGACAATACTTCAAATAAACGTTCACAAAGACAAGACTCTACACTAAGTACTCACGGGTAAGAAATGATTCGACAACATTCAGCAAACGTTAGGCAATGAACCGACACAAGACAGCAAACACAAGGGGATAAAATACCAAGAAACTAACGAGGGGAACAGGTGACGCTGACAAGGCAATCATGACTAAACACGGATAACAAGGGGGCGGGGTTACAAGACGAGACAACACAAGCACATGGCCAAACAATTGGCCATGCGCTTGTACACAAAACATTGGTTCTGTCATGATCCTGCCACAAGACTAAGAATAATCAATAACATGATGGCAGAATCATGACAAGTATCTTAATATTTGTGATTTAAAAAAGCATAATGAAAAATAAAAGATGTATTACTTGATGTTTGACCAGAGGCTCTTGATCAGATGATGAGTGAGAAGGGGACTGAGTTGGAGTGTAAGTTTTTTTTTTCTTTGCCACTCTTTTTGCATCATTTTGCAAACATGGCTGACTTTTTCTTTTCCCCTCTAGCCTGAACATCCTCCTCCTGAGGGTTTCTTTGCTCTCTAAAGGGACAAAAATACTCAAGTAGGAAATACATATCTTCTATATCATGACTGAGTCTTGTTTGCTGAACTTTTACCATCAATATCTATAACTGTGGCTGGGGAACTTTCCTCTTCATAAATCACATCCACAACATCTCCAGGTTCAAACTTTTTTTTTAGTATGTCCTTTTTAGGGCCAATATCATTGGTGGGAGGCTCCTCCCTCCATTCCACCAGAACCCATGTTTTGTTCATTTTCTAAATAAATAATTACATGCATACATATTTACTTACATACAATTGAACATAAATACATTTATACATTAATAAAATATAGGCCTATATAAATCCAAAGGTGTACAAAACTCTAAAGTCTCATCATTCACATTCATCTGTTGCCTTCAGCTGACTGTATCCATGACAACAATGTTATCTTTAACGGCAACCAGCCAGCGACTCTCACGGTCTCGTCCGGTGCAGATCATTTACTTCTATTCTAAGGTAACCAAAAGGTACAATAATATCAATTATTAGCGATGAAATACAAAACAAAGTAATGTGTTTTGTTAACAATAGATAAAGCTCATTTTTTATAGTCATTTATTAAAGAAAATGTTGATATAGGCGGTATAACGTTATTATTATAAGCCTAATGTGCCGGCAGCAAAAAAAGAAAAAAGAAAAGAAAAAAAAAACATTTTCATATGTTTTAGTGTTACAAATACACATTCATTTAGAAATGTATAACAGAACAGTAATTTAAAGCATTATAACGATACAATTATTATAATAAAAAAGGCGGACTTACCTTCACAAGACAAAGTGACAGTTGAATGACGTGAATCGGCTACGTGTAGCGAGTAGGGCGTCAATGAAACACGTCACCTCAGTGAATCGAATCTCTAGAAAGATTCATTTACCGGTTCTTTATGTAAATTACACGAGCGTCTTTTTCAGTGTGAAAGACTCTTATTCAACAGATTCCTTAAAACACAAGTCTTTCGCGACAAAACTTTTATTTTCTTTAAAAAAAATAGCCTTCTAAGTATATATATATATATATATATATATATATTAATCCTATGTTCCTAATTCAATTTTATAAATACCCAGATTCGTTATTGTAGTCATTTTTAGAAAATGTTCTCATATTACAATTTGGTTTAAGCTATTCGGATAATGCAAAAAAATATATTCTTTATTATATTTACAAAGAAATAACACTAACTTGTTTCTTTTTGAAGGATACAAATGGAGTATAAAGTGTACTTAAATGAAGAGGCACCTGTTCCAGCAGCTACAAAAAGGCGATGGACACAAAATATAATAGGTTGCTGCATTCAGATTCAGAATAATATGCAAATAACTGTAATTTAGGCAATTGTTTTCTTATTGTACAATTACATATTGACATTAATCAAATAAGCAAGAATTCTGCTCTTTCTTCTTCTTCAGGCGCAAAAAAGAGAAGATCATACAAGACATGGCTTATTCCTGATATAGTTGAAGTAATTCAGGTTTTGATGTTGGCCTAAAAACATTTTCAGTGATAAATTCATGGCCATTTGTTGTAGTCAAGAAGCCATGTCTAACTAGCTCCTGTATGTTTATAATTTCATACTTATAGGAAAACATTTCCAATGATGACAGTGGTGACAATATCAGCAAATCTAACAGGAACTCCCCTGATGCTCATGTGAGAATAGTTTTTTTTTTTTTTCAAAGTTAATCTTCTTTAGAATTGCGCTTCTTTATTGTCATAAGGTTGGCAATTCTTTGTTCCTTTTTCAGCCAGTACATATAAAAATGTAAAAGTATAGTACATGCATAAAACTAGTGGTCCAATAGCTGTACATGTCTCACAGGTAAACGTTTCTACTGATGATGAGAATGAGATCGTCAGTGATGCTGATGTGAGAAGAATTTCTGATCTTTTCTTTTTATCCAATGTTTTTTGCATACATTTGTAAATATCTGTGTTCATATCTTTTGTTTTAATGTGTAATAAATGCACAATTTCTGACAGGAAAGCTTTTCTGCTGATGACGAGGATGATGTTTTTAGCACAGCTTATGAGAACTTTCCACAGACTCATGTGAGAATAAAGTTTAGAATATATAGTCTATAGCCTCACACTTTTTTCTCCTTTGTGTCAGCTTGTAATAAGTGCAATATTTACTTTCTAGATTGTCAGAAACCACAGTGCAGTTTGTGAGGGAAGCACAGAAGAAAGAGAGGAGTGGTGTGCCAGTGAGGAAAAGATATATCCAAATGCCAAAATCACTAATAAAGAATCTCTCCTGTCTATACTTGCCTACAGCCTCAGGCATACGACATCCAAAGTGGCTTTGAGTGACTTGTTAGATCTTATCAATCTCCACTGTCCTGATTCAACCAATGGCGTTCCAGATAGCTTATACAAGTTCATGAAATCCTTTCAGTGTGACACTTTTGAAGTCCAGTATATTTGCCCATCCTGCCAATATTTCTTTGGTAATGAAATCCCCACCCACTGTGCTTCATGCAATGGTGCCCCAGGGGACATGGAAAACCTAATCAAATCTGGCTCTGTCTTTATAAAGTTATCTATTGCAGATCAATTAAGAGGTAAATTTCAGAATACAGATTTTTGTCAGTCTTTGAATTACAAATGGTCAAGGACAAAGCGCAACTCACAAAACGTTGAAGACATATTTGATGGCACTATGTACAAATCTATTGATGCACTAAATGACCCAGATTTGGCGAATATTTCAGTGTCATGGAATGTTGATGGTGTTCCAATTTTCAAATCTTCTCCTTTTCATATCTGGCCACTTTTTACAATCTTTTTACAAAAACTTTTTACACTTTTTACAAAGTTACAATCAACGAGCTCCCCCCTAATCTGAGGGCAAAGCATGTCATTCTTGGCGGTTTGTGGTTTGGGCCAAGAAAGCCAGAAATGAACTTGTTTCTGCAATCATTTGTTAATGAATTGCGAAGTCTTGAAAACCAAGGGTTACCTTGTCAGTGGAAAGGTGAAAAATCAGTAGTCCATGTTTACAGTTTGCTTTGCATTTGTGATTCAGTGGCTCGTTGTGCTGTACAGAATGTCAAGCAATTTAATGGAGAGCATGGTTGTAACTGGTGTTATCAAAAGGGTGAGGTTGTAGAAAAGGGTAATGGGTTTACAAGGGTGTATCCTTTGCAGTCAACGGAGCCAGAGCTAAGATCACACAAAAAACACAATAAAGATGCTCAGCAAGCTGTGGATTCGGAAACATGCATAAATGGTGTAAAAGGTCCATCTCCTCTAATGCTGCTGATGTTTTTTAACATGGTTACTGGATTTGGATATGATTACATGCATGGCATATTACTTGGTGTTTGTCGCCAGCTGACTACCCTATGGTTTGACTCCAAATACCATACAGAGCCTTGGTACATTGGAAGAGAAATCGAGCAAATTGAAAGAAGGTTACTTGCCATTAAACCACCTGCAAGTATAACAAGACCACCCCGTTCAATTTCTTTGCGTAAATATTGGAAAGCTTCGGAATACAGACACTTTCTCTTATTTTACAGCCTTCCCTGTTTGTTCGGTATTTTACCGAGAAAATATCTTGACCATTTACTACTTCTAGTAGAGGCCACATACATTCTCCTTCAAGATTCAATTATCCCCCATGACATTGACAAAGCTGATGGCCTTTTAAAATCATTTGTGGGCCGTTTTGAGTCTCTATATGGAAAGTGTCATGTGTCTTATAATGTCCACATACTTGTAAATGCAGCAGCATCTGTAAAAAATTGGGGTCTTTTATGGAGTCACAGTGCATTCTTATATGAGTCCCAGAATGGACACCTTCAGAAACTCTTTCATGGCACACAAGCTGTAGCAGAGCAAATTGTTAACATGTTTAACCTTTACCAGCATGTTCCACGACTCATTGCTGCTGTATTCAATGATGAACAAACACAGCACAGCAAAAGCTTTGTTGAAAAAATGTTGGGAGGCACCAAGATTGTGACAAAGTGTATTGGTAGTTCTAACGTGATGTTTCTTGGATGCCCACCTGTACGACAGCCAACCCCAAGAGAGTCTTATCTCCTTCAAGAGTCAGGTTTTAGTGCACATAAAGCTTTCAGTTTTTATTCTAGGGCTGTGGTTAATGGCAAGCGAATTCATTCAAAAGGAGCAAAATCTTTATTTAAAAGAATCAACCATGCAGTTCAAACCAAACATGGGTCTGTAGCATTAATACGATCATTTATTGATGTAGGTAATGCGCAAGGAGAGGGTCATGCCTTCATTGATGTTATGAAAACAACAAGTAATGACATCAGCAAAGACAGAGAATCAGGGATAACAGCAACAAGCATTTTAAAAGAAAGAGGGATAGACTCAGTTGAACTAATCAAATGCACAGACATACATTCAACCTGTGTCTATCTCAAGGACCTGCCAGGTCTTGCAAATAATTTTTTTTGCATCCAACCAAATAGATGGGAGTGGGATTAAAAATAAATTGCTGGTTTTGATCTTAATGTTATAAAATGTAAACGTGTACAGTACACAGACTCTCTTAAATGTTGAAATGTCTTGGATGTTTGCATAAATGCATAATTTTGAAATGATTTAGAGTAATGGTTAATTTTTTTTATTTTTGCCTATAGCTATTCTTACTCTTAATTGTATTAATTTATTTGTTAAGACTCATTGAATCTAATTAAATAAAAATTGTATGAATACAACTACAGCAACTATCACAGTTTTATTCTCTAGTCTAGACATTATCCTGAATCCAAAACCTGTAGGTTTTTTTATATTTGTTTTTCATTTTGTATTTATTTATTTACAGGGACATTTTATATCATATTATAATGCAACTTATTAGGCCTATATATTTATAGAATAGCAAAGTAGGCTTAATCAATATACAAGACTTAACCACACAGATATATAAAGGCTATCATGATCATTTTGCCAAAAATGAACCATGTATTTGTTTAGATTATAATACGTTTTATTTTTAACTTAAACAAATGCAACATATAACATTCGAAACTCATCGGCTTAGACTGCATTTGAAGAAAAATAAACACAACAGTTTTCTGTAGCCTTGTGCGAACTTATTCAATAGAATTAGACTTCTAGAATGTTGTTTCCGGTGCAAAAAAAAAAAAAAAAAAATTTTTAGTAGTTTTTCTTATCATAGCCTACAAATGTCTTCGGAAACACATTTTACTCGATTTACTGAAGCCTGTAAAATGCATTTGCACAGCTTGCACATTGAGCGTCTGGCTCGCTCAGGCTGCGCTGCGGCAACTGCACATCCAATGGCGCGGGCGCCTCTGACGTGCGACCAATGAGCCAACTCTACGTCATTACACGTCAGAGCCCGTCAAGGTGGCGCCAAGTCCCCGAATTTACCATTATAGCAGCGGGTCTTCGTTCATTCATCATAGTCTGTCTGACATATATATTAGAAGCTATGCGTCTGTCTTGGATTTGCACTGAATTGATTCTCAAAAATACGGAACAAAGTGCGTTCCGTATCAGTTCAATACGGAACAAGCCTTTTATGTGTCAAATACGGAACGATTCCGTATTATACGGAACAGTTGGCAACCCTAGCTGTCTGACATTAGTCCTGGCCTGTCCTGCTCTCTTGGCAGCATAGCAGGCTCATAATTGTACGGCTGTGGTGGTCCGTCATACGAGTGAGTACTGAGTAGGCTACTTCCTCAGCGTCCGAAATGTCATTGCGATCCATTGTTTTCCTGTTGTTTGAATCGACCGCTCTCCCGCCCGTTACGTCGCGCCCGCCACGCCCATTTTCAGACGCGGTCACGCGGAAGTAAAATTTTCTCACAAAAACGACTCTAGAAGCTTCTGTAGCGTATTTATAAGTATATTTTAAAGAAAATCTAGTTCCTACATTATTTTTCTATACATTGACTCGTTGGGTCCTCTAACCTGCAATATTCCCTTTAATATTTCTATTTAGCTTTCATTTATTTTTATTTCAGGTTTAGTAATTTTAGTTCGTTCATTTTCAGTTAGTTGCCAAGTCAACATTTCTAATATTACGTTTATTAAGCGTACGTTTCTCATCTATTATTTATATTTGTATTTTATTTTATCTTTATTTCAATTAATGTTTCGATTTTTAAAAGTTGTAATTTTAGTAAACAATAACAAAACTTGCAGTATGCTTGTCCTCTTAAAAACGTTTTCCTCTTAAAATTGAAATGTCAGTAAAAAGTAAATTAATCTTAGGTGAGCATGTATCGCATTTGCAGTTTACAAGAATACATCATGCATCAATTTGTCGCTTTACACTTTATTCTTTCTTTATTTCCTCCACCGGACAGCTGGTTTTCAGCAGCATCTGCTGGACCCTATGATGAATTTCCATTACACATTGCGCAAGCTGCACTTGCATGAAGAGGAGTATGTGCTGATGCAGGCCATCTCGCTCTTCTCACCAGGTACCTCAGATTAAGCTCAACATACACAAACACACATGAGCCGCTGTTTAAAGGGATAGATCACTCAAAAATGAAAGTTCTGTCATCATTTACTCACCCTCAAGTTGTTCCAAACCTGTATGAGTTTCTTTGTTCTGCTGAACGTTGGTAACCAAACAGTTACTGGTCCCCATTGACTTCCACTTAAATTTTTTTTTTTTTTTTTTATATCCCTTTAACCTCTCACGTGTGTGTTCGTCCACAGATCGACCTGGTGTGACGCATCACAATGTGGTCGACCGTAACCAGGAAACGCTAGCTCTCACCCTGAAGACCTACATCGAGGCAAAGAGGGCCGAGCCAGATAAGCAGTAAGCATGCTTTCTTTCCGTCTCATTAGGAAAACGTTTTTTCCTTTGATTACAATTTCAGTCTTAACCTTCTCCTCCTGCTAGTCTGCTGTACCCGAAGATCATGGCGTGCCTGACCGAGATGAGGAGTATGAACGAAGAGTACACAAAACAGGTGCTGAAAATCCAGGACATTCAGCCTGAAGTGTCTCCGCTTTTGTTGGAAATAATAAGTAAAGACGGCTGCTAGGACACTAAAGGTTAAAAGACTAGTCAAAACTTGCAAGGACGAGGGCGGTGACTACTGGTGATGAACTACTGAACAGCAGCACACGGTAATCGTGAAATTGTTACTTAATGTAATTGTATTTATCCGTGTTTAGCAGTCTGTTTTCGGAATCTTTTCGCGAAAGAACAATTTCTGTGGTTCATACGCAGATGTAGGATGGCACATCACTGTTTTATCTCTTACATTTACTGCATGAATGAAGCTTGAAATGGGGGGTTAGATTAAGAGGCCGTTTACACAACACCGATTTAAAAACTAAACTAAAAACGTAAAACTTGTAACGCGTTTTGGCCGTTCATTTACACGACAACAGTGAAAACAGGTTTTAAAAAGCGAAACCGTTATTGTCTCTGTATAAAGTACAAAAACGAGATTTTGCGAAAACGGTGACGTCATGCGTATTAAGTGTTCAGTCTAGGTGCGTAGTGTTTTGTTACAAAGTGACGTCGCCAACTACTGGCCTGACATGAATAATACAGCGTTTGTAGTTGTTTTCGCACATCCATGTGAACCGGGATCGTTTTGACAACGTTGTCGTCTGTACGTGAAAAACGCAAGGAAAACCGTTTCTGTTTTTAGTACATCGTTGTCGTGTAAATGTAATATTTGGTAATACTTTATTTTAGTGTTTGTTACACGTTACATGTACTTACTGCAGTAAATGATGTATAATTAAATGCAACTATCCCTAAACCTAACCCTATAGTAAGTACATGTTCTTAATATTCCTCAGTACTTATATGTATAATTACACTGTAATAACGACACCTTAAAATGAAGTGTAACCAAGATTTGTAAATTCGACTTAAATTTTCCCCTTTTGTCATGAAGGGTAACACTTTATAGTAAGGTTCCATTAGTTAACATGAACTAACTGCCAAAAGCATTTATTAATACTTCGAAAGCATATTAATTTCAACATTTACTAACACATTATAAAAACCAAAAGTTGTATCGGATTGTATTATTTAGTAAGTGTTGTATTTTATTAACTAACTTTAACAAACATTAAATGGGACCTTATGGAAAAGTGTTACCTCATAAGCTTTGCCAGGTAAGATGCTGTAAGAGATTATTATTATATAATATTATGTTATTGCATCAGAGACCACAAATTATAAAAACGAAGATATGATACTATGATGCATACTGTGTAAATTGTCTGCCGTATGTCTTGACAAATCTTTTTATTTATTGTTTGTGTTTAAATCTAAAACAGTGGTATGTTAATCGCTTCTAATGGTGTTCAGGTTATATATATATAAATAAAAAAATATTTTAGTAGCTATATTTGACAAGACAAAGAATGTAAGTGTACTTATGGAGTTATGAATCTCATAAAGAACATGGTCAGGTCATATTTTACTCTCCAAAATTAAAAATAAATAAAACATTTTTAGGACTTTCATTACAGTAAATAAAGATTTTTTATTATTGTATTATGGTAATGAGATTGTTTTTAATGCAAAATATCTGTCCAAAAATATCTTTGATTTTGAAGTGAAATTTCTGGACCTGGATAATGTTCTTTAGGTTTCGTGAGATTCACTCTGTGATGTGTGACTGGTTATCAATATATATATATATATATATATATATATATATATATAATCTCTGTTGTGAATATAAGAAACAAAACTTGCTGTGTTTTGCAAAACATGTGAATGTCTACAATTTTGAAGAATCTCTGAAATTTGATGACACTTTCTTGAGAAGTCATTGTCTTTTTGAAAGTTTTAGAGTAAACTTTTTCACTTAGTACGTTCAGATTTTAGCGAACAGACATCACATCAGAATAGCATTTAGAGGTCATTTGGAACTTTTTTTGGTTCTTTAACTAAACACTTGGTTCTGTCACTTAAACACTTAGCAATGACAATCAATGTGTAGATTGTGAGCGAGTGTTATATGTGGATGTGACACATGACAATGTAGAGCAGATGTTTCGGGTTCCAATCTAGGTGTTCAGTGTTTTTGGAACGGGGTCTTTCACATATTTGCTACAAATAAAAGCAGAGGATTCAGGTATCCGGTATCTATGTAAAGCTCAAACTCTTTTGAAAATGCCTTCATGTTGCCATTTTGTGTAGATTAAGCAATTATTTCATCCTGCCTGCAAAATGATAAGGAAACTTGTCATAACATGAATAATTACTACACAGTACACTCAGGTTTTTCTCTCTTTACAGTGGTTATTTTTCAATGTGAGACATATGACCCTCTCAGGAAAATAAATGCAAAATTGTATGAGAACGTGTGTGTTTTTTTAAAAATGTTTTTGAAAGAAGTGTCATATGCTCACCAAGACTGCATTTATTTTTGCTTATTATTTTTGTGGAAACCATGGTACATTTTTTTCAGGATTATTTGATTACATTTAAAACAGCATTTATTTTTTAAATAGATTTTTTTTTTGTACATTAAATGCATCTACCATAATGCTGAATAAAAGTATTAATTAAGATAAATAAATAAACCTTACAAACTCAAAATGGCAGTGTGCACTTTTTTTTTTTCATTAATATTTTTATGCATTTGGCAGATGCTTTTAGCTAAAGCAACTTAAAATGCATTCAAATTACCGTATACGTTTAATTTGAACCCAGGCACTTACCGGAATCACATTAAAACACAAAGCAAAAAAAAAAAAAAAAAGAAACATTTAATTGAACTTTAACATTTTGGGCTGCGAAAAGAAAGACACATGGCAAATGCAGGGTCATTTCCAAGCTATCCTACTCTTTATTTAATGCAAATTACAGTACCAGGTAACTAGTCTCTGAATCCAAGTCACACCAAGGACCAAAACGGACATATTTACAAGGAGAGGAGACATTTAGCATACCTTCACAGAAAAAGAATATATTTCAAATAAAATAAAAATTTCAGTCACAAACAGAGGCATTCAAGTAATATTAATGTTATACAGGTTGCTTTTTTTCTTTTTCATTTTAAACCAAGACAACTTTTTTTTTTCCCAATAAGTGTATTTAATGCGATAGTCTGTAGCCCGCAGTCCTTAAAACATTTTTTTTTTTGTCTTTTTTTGTATTTTGGTAATTGTTTTTAACCCTTGTGTCTTTACATTTTTACTCTAACTTTAGTCACGAGAAGTGGTCACACCATTTGTGGAAAGCAACACATCTATGAACGCGTATCTTACAAGCAAAGCTTTACATTGAGGGTGCGGGGATGAGGGTCCGGCGGGTGCTACGGGACATCTCTACTGCGTACTGTCAGCTGGCCAACGAGCAAAAACACCAAAGAAATCATTATTGCCCCTGGGATGTGTCGCAGTTACGTCACAACACGCTCGTAGTTGGTTCGCTTTGGTAGTGGAACGAGTGTAAGAACGTACATTGTGATTGGCTCCACAGGAACGTGACTTCCTCCACACACAAAAACATCTTTGTGCCAATAAGTGAGTGAATCCAAAGCAAAAAATAAGGAAAAAACATGACAGAAATACCATAGAGTGTGGTTTGTGACAGAAAATGAAGTCGGCTGTCAGTCATTCTGACTTGACCAATCAACAGCACCTGCAGAGGGTCACAGGAAGGGGTGTGGCCTGCCTTGAGTGTAGACAGAAAGGGGGTGTGGCCTAGGGACAGGAAGTGTATGGAAGCAAAGGCACTCCAAACTATAGATACACTATACATTACTAGATATAGTTACAATAATATAGCTGGCACCTACTGTACAGATAAGATTGAACTATATGGCTGGAGAAAGCTCCTTGTCTACAGTATCCAACAAACAGGTCATTCTTACCCTGATCTTTAAAATCTGTTTTTAATCTTTTTGTTTTCTTTGATCCTTTTTTCATTTAATCCCTCGTCTTTGTTTCCGCTCATTAACAGTTCTCAGGTCAGCATTTTATATGTACATAGCAGAACACACGCATGTACACATTCACTCACACATGCTTACAAATTATACAAAAATAAAAGTCAAATAAAAGTGTAAAAGCCAGAATTTGGTGAGGAGCAACATTTCTGTACTGTATATACATGTCTGCCATTTTCATGTACTGCTATACTTTGCGTATTAAGACATTCTGGATAAAGAAAAAGTACATTTTTCTGTAAGCAGGTTGAAAGTATGTCGAGACGTTAGTGGTTGAACCGACGCAGCCACTTCAGTTTAACATTACGAGAGTCGTCTGTGAAGTCTGCGTCACGTCGATGAGTTGTCTTCATCTATTCTTTACGTTTAGCTGTAACTCGCAGTGTGAATACGAACAATTAATCTGAGCGTTACAACACTGACCCACACGCGACAATAAATAACGGGAGGAAATCAGGACAGAAGGTGATTGTAATTCTACCAGGCGAACAGAAGAGCGAAACGCTTGCAAGAAAGGAGCTCCAGCAAAATGTGTCCCAAGTTCTTAGTCATAAACATACTGTATTATTTTGGCCAGCGGCAAAATTCGCCACTGCCCTGACAATCCGTGATGGATTCTGGACCGATGATGCTAGATATAGATCTATATATAACTATATATATATATTTATTTTACATAATGCAAAGTAATATATAAACTGTGTATGTATATATCATACAAGAACACAGAGATGGAGACGCACGTCTCACTTGTCAATCAAAATGTCTGCCCTTCCCCTTAGACCGCCCATTTTATAAAACAAAATAAAACATTCAGCAGACTTAAAAGTCCAGGATAATCTGCAACAGAGAATTTCTCTGTTAGCTTTGTGGTTGGAACATGCGGTTTTTACATTTATACCTCTTCTTTAGTGCTTTGTGGGTTGTTTAGGATACAATTAGATACGATATTTCCTTTAGTTTTGAATACTGCATCATTTTCACCCAATACATACATATATACATATATATATATATATATATATATTGGGTAGCCATGCGCTATAAGAGACCCAGAAAAGTAGAAAGGGACCGAACGTGTAGCTAGAGACAGTCCAGGTGAGAGAAGGGGAGTCCAAATGGAAACGGAAGTGGATGGATCTGGCTACCGGATTGCTTATATAACAAGATTGTCCTCTGAGAAAAAAAAAAAAAAAGTTCCGGCTGGTCACAGACCAGGTTTTATGGTTTTATGGTTTAACCCCCCCCCCCTCCCCCTCCCAACCGTATCCTCACTGATTTCTCTGTCTCTGTCGCTCTCGTGAATTACACCCGACAAGGCTTTTCCAAGTATCATTTTGAACTCTTTCTGAACTTCGTTAAAAAAAAGACGTAAATGAAGGTTGGCTCTTGCAGTCTGAATAAGAGTGGTGGTTACATGACTCAAATCCTGCCCAATAAGCTGGTGAGCAGTGGGGTGGGCGTGGCCCTGGAGGCAGGGTCAGTTCTGATTGGCTGGGGCTCTCAGGTTGAGGTGTTGGAGGCGGAGGCAGAGGCTGCAGTTGTGGTCTGACTGCGATCACTATTGGCATCTGCACACAAAGAGAACATATTTTCATTTTTATTAGTATATATTGTATTTTATGTCTTGATGTCATAATAAAAAGTCACATTAAAAGAATTCCAAGTGAAATAAATAAATAAATAAAACAACTTCACCACTTATTACTATTTGTAAAACGTCCATAAAATCTAAATCATGTGGTCCAAACATGATGCGGTAAAACTAGGAGTGTGCGATTGTAATTGTTATTTTAACAACGTGGAAGCTGACATTATCGTGTACGTCACTTACTATGCAATAACCAAACAAAAACATGCCTTGAGAGTCCACTTATTCATGATGTTGCCTATTAGAATAGTTAGTATGCCTGCAAAATTCAATATATGAGGGCTAAAAGGCCCCTGTATGAGTTTTTGTCTTCTATTTCTATATGATATAGTTAAGCAGTATCACATGAGTAAGAGTGCCGTTTTCCCCAAACATCAGTACGATCGCAAATGTGATATTGATTTTATACAAACAAGAAGTTAATATTGTGAGTTACATTTTAGACACAAAATTGTCAATATTGTCTGTTTTTGCTCTATTTTGCCAATGGAAATACTCCCAAACAAAGCTGCAGCAAAAAGGTGGGTGTTTCGTTCCTGAATGAATCAGTGTTGCTGATGATCCATTGAATGGAATTTGACCTAAAACATGATGCACACATCTAGTAAGGTAAGAAAAAAGACCTAAACCAGTCATGGTACAAGCACATTTAACCAGTCCTACTCAACCCACTTTGAGCGGGATTCGAACCGGCGTCTGGGATGTGGGCGCCATAACAAGGACGCTTAAGATCACACTCTCTAGCGTCAGTCGCAAGTGCGCCTCTTGAGGCCTGGAGAAGTGAGTTTTACTCACACACCTCACTCCCATCCGGGTCACGGCACCAAATGTAACCAGTCCTACTCGACCCGCTTTGAGCGGGATTAGAATCGGCGTCTCCAGCTTGGGAGGCAGGCGTGCTAACAAGGACACTAAGGACAGCAGTCTATAGCGTCACTTGCTAGTGCGACTCTTGAGGCCAGGGGAGTGAGGTTTACTTGCACAGCTCTTACTAGCTGGCATCCGTTACACACACACTCGACAAAATTGGACATTTTATCATAGAGTAGGCTATATACAAATAATAAGGGATGACAGATGAGCACAAAGGTGTCTAAAACAAGAACTGACCTGAAGTGGTAGAGGTGTTGGTGGGAGTAGAAGCTCCTGCCTGGTTACGTGCATGAGCGGGAATTAGGATAGAGGCCAGGGATGGGTTACTGGACAGCTCTGAGTGAAGAGAAAAGAAAAACTGATTTGAACACTATCATCAACAAATGGCTTGTCTTGCTTCTGACAGAACTTTTCTTCATAAAAGCAAATGCAAAATACCGCCTTACCTTGAGTTGTGAAGTTGAATAAGGACGGTTTCTCGCGCCCGTTAGGAAGCTTGACGTTTGGATCCCGCAGTTCATCGAAGAAGGAATGAGCGCAGGCCTCTAGTGGGGTCAGTCGAGCGGTTGGTGTGTACTCCAGCAGCCGGGAACATAATGCAATGGCTTCCGGAGGCGTGCGTGGCCGGAACACCTGCGGAGAAGTTTAAGAAGTTTAGTAAGAGAAGAAACCTATATGCAGAGATTAGGATGGCCTCCTTTACATGTTTTGGTATCAACAAACAGCAAGGGCCTCATTTATAAAATGTAAATATAATCTGACATGATCAAAAATTCCATGGATTTAATGCTGCCTTCATGACATGTGCTATCGGAATTATCGTAAATATGGGTTTCCTAGTTAAAAATTGGACATGAACGCCCTCTCGAGTCGTATTTACCACTGGGAAGCTCTGGGGTGATTTTGATACCCAAGTTTCCGAGTTGGGCATGTCTTAAACTTTAAACACGGTAGAGGGGAGAACGGCTGTGACTGCAATTCTTTACTAGTTTTAGAACGGCTACATCATTCCACAGTCTTGCCGTTAAAATAGTGCATATTTACATATATGAATAATCATTTAAAGCGCAGTGTATGTATTATACACTGCGAAAATAGCCTGGATTTGACGGAAATCCCAGAAATATTGATAGTGCAGTGAATGTCAATGAATGGGACACTAAATGTCATTTTCAGGCAAGAATAAACCTGGTGTTCTCCGTGATTCCTGTTCTTTCCGACAGCAAAGCACTTGAATGTGACAAGCTCGTAATCATAACTTCAGAACTGGAAAGTAGGAACATTTCCGATAGCACATAACGCCAGCATAATCTTGTCCATTAAAAATGAGGAACAAATCTTGATTTGTTAAGCAGAAACTGTGTGATAACTGGAAAGCTTGCTTTCAAACCTTTTTTGAATTAATAACTGCACATTATGAATGAATAACTTTTACATAAGCTTTATATTTCATTCCGTCTCACCGTAATTCACTTGGCGTGCCTTTGGGAAGTTTTTTTGTTCCTATGGATGTTTTATGAATCATTAATAGGAAATTGAATCATCTATGAATCATTTAGGAAATTGTCTTTTATTCACACTTAGGATGATTACACGCACATCTTTAGAAATGAGGCCCCAGGTTCCCATTGTGGCAACTTGTCCTGTATAAGGTGACATCATGTCCCATTATGGGGTTTTAAAGGAACTTTTTTGCCCCTGGGTAATAAGGGTAAAATGTTCAAATGCTTTTTGTTGGCGAGTCTTTAAGGAGCTTGTATATAAAGAAATGACCCATCCTAGGAACAATTCAACTGAAATTAGCCTTGTTCTGACAGAGAAACAGGAAGGAATATTTATCTTTTAGAGGCGTTTGAGTAACAGGCATTTTGGGCATATCCCGTGCAGAAGGTAAGACTGTCTTGAAGGGAGGGGTCTGATTGGAAGCAGGACAAGACTAAACACACCCTGCAGCTCAGTCGTGTACTATACACAATGACCACTAGGGGGCATCTGAGAGATCCTGCCATTATACTTCATGTGGACTACAGTGTTGGGTGAATGGCCAGACACATTTAATCGCCATATCTGCATAATACATTTCAAGTATAAAATGTTTTTTAAGCAATAACTTAACTGGGTCACACTTTAGATTAGGGTCCAATTCTCATTGTTAACTAACTATTAACTATGACTTTTGCCTCAATAAACTCCTAATTACTGCTAATTACTAGTTAAGTTTAGGTATTGGGTAAGATTAAGGGATGTAGAATATGATCATGCAGAATAAGGCATTAATAATAAATCCTAGTAATCTGCATGCTTATAAGCAACTAGTTAATAATGAGAATCAGACCCTAAACTAAAGTGTTATCTTAAACTGACAATTAGTTTAGGTAAACTTTAAAAGTAACAAATTCCTTTCTAATCACACCAAAGAAAAGTAGCAAGACTCATTACCAGTTGAAACATGTCCATCCAGAACAGTTTAGCTGTCCTTCGACTGCAATTTTCAAATGACTCAGCAAGTTCAGTTTAATGTACATGCTAACAGTTTCATTTGCAAGGCAAAATCTACAATACCGCTTAAAGGTTTGGGGGTCAGTGAGATTTTTTTGTTGATGTTTTTGGAATTGAAAAGTCTCCTAAGCTAATAGTAAATATTGTGAAGTGTTATCAGAATTAAAAATGACTGTTTTCTATTTAAATATATATTTGAAAGTGTAATAAATTCCTGTGATGGCAAAGCTGAAATTTCTGCATCATTACTCCAGTCTTCAGTGTCACATGACCCTTCAGAAATCATTCTAATATGCTGATTTGATGCTCAAGAAATGTACTTTTGAAATCAGCTGTGCGGGCAAAAAAATTGTTTCATTATTAATGCCACATTTGATCAATTTAATGCATCCTTGCTGAATAAAAAAGTATTTTTTAAATCTTACTGACCCCAAACTTTTGAACAGTATATATATATATATATATATATATATATATATCACAAGCACAATCCAAACCAAAAACAACGAACACATAGCAAACAACAATTTAGTGCAATGAAGTCAGTAAGCAATGTAGAGCGTATCTGGTGGTGAGGTCATTCAACTCAAATGAACATGCGGATGTGACATCACTGGCTGACAGTGGTTCTGCTCCAAAACCTAGTGAAATGCCATCCTGACTAATGGCTAAATATGCAGCGGCCTTATTATAATACATAGAACACAAATACTTAAAATAGGCCTTTTATATCTTTATTTAATTTAGTATTGAATGAATTATAATTATATTGATACATAATGTATATTTACATATTTATAATTTCTTTGCAAGCATCTTGGATTTTTTTTATCTTGACATAGCGCATTATGGAATTGCATTCTCTCTTCTAAATCAAGCTATTTTACAAAGCTGCATAATTATTCCGCCTACCTTTCTGAACAGGATTCTTTCATAGGCAGCTCACTAGAGATCGGAACAGTGCGACTGTAATGGTCACAACAGAGCTCAGAAAGAGGACGCCTACAGTCGGACACAATCCTGACTGAAATTTTCCATCCTCTTTAATCAACTAGTTGAGAAGTAGAGAGTCCGAGAGCAATAGATGAAATAAAGTGATGTCGGCGAGTCCTGTGTGGTGCAGACGGGGTGATGTGAATGAAATGGAGCCAGGATGAGGAGTCGAGCTGAGGGCTGGAGGTGGGAGGCGGCTGTGCTAGAAGTAGTAAAACAGTTGACCTGTACCTGTTTACTCACCTTAGTCCATGGATGGGCCTTAATCTGGGGGAATTTGAACTCGGTGTAGTTTGGGTTCATTTCCCGAATCTGCTCACGTGTGGGAGTGCCAAGCACCTGTGACCACAAACACAGAGAAAGACCAGTCAAGACACAGTAATATAATGCTGTTTCTTCAGCTATAGCCAACTTTACGTTCCGGCGGTTTGGTTTTTATTAAAAAGGATTTCACCACTTTCTTTTTCTTATATGAAGTTCACATGACAAAGTCTTGAAAAAGTTTTACCAAGCCTTTCTTATTTTTGTTTGTTTGTTTGTTTTAGTTTTCAAATTAATTTTAGGAATAAAGTTTATTGTTTTACACTTTTGATATAAAAACAACAACAGAATTTTCGGTATTTTACAGTGTCCTTGTTACACGTTACATGTAGTTACCATAGTACTAACAGCAAATTATTTATACTTGCATAAAACTAACGCTCAATCAAATCCTAATCCTACCCTAACCCTGTAGTGAGCACATGTAGTTGCTTAATATTACTCAGTACTTATATAATTACACTGTAACAATGACACCTTAAAATAAAGTGTAACCGAATTTTCAAATAAAAAATTAATAATTTCAATATTTATTTTGTGGAAATTATTTTTTATTATACATTTTCTACAAAATGATGTCTGTTCCACATCTGTATAACATGCAATTATCTGAACTGTAGTGTTTTTTGACTCACTTAAGTAGGACCCTTTAGTTCACCCAATAATGAAAAATATATAATTTATTCACCCTCATGTCGTTCAAACCCCATATGACTTTCTTTCATCCTCGAAACACAAATGAAGATATTTGAAATGAAATCCGAGAGTTCCCTTTCGTTGTCACTCCGAGTTCCGTCGGATGACGACGAATGGGGGTTTCGCTTAGAAGCCAATCAACTTCAAATACTTCAAAACGAGCCAATGGCAAAGAAATGCCATGGGTCTGCGGAATTTGCATAGCGTAACTCCGCCTCACCTCGTGAGTATATAAGGAGAACGCTGGCAGCAAATAGGCATGTTTTCGCTTTGGAGCCAAGTTAATCCTTCGTTCCACAAGCCATTCCTGAAATTGTCAGTTCTTCAAACGAGCAAGATTCTCTGGTGTTGGTGTGACGGCGATCTTCGGCGAGCGCGCACTTCCTGCTTATCTGTCTGTGGTTCGACAGCGAGTGTGTTTCTCCCCGAGCGCTTCAACACAATCAGGTTTCTATTCTCACAAAAGAGCTTGCACGTGGCACGTCTTTTTAAAGATGCCTCGCCCGTGCACTTCTGGTAGGCTGGTTGACGACTCTGATGGGCACGGGTGCTGCATAGTGTGTTTGGGCATTGATCACGCTAGAGCAGCACTCGTGGATGACTCATGTTCTCTCTGTGGGAACATGACCATCGCAGCATTACGGTCAAGACTCGGTGATCTCGCAAGAGTGAGGGTCCCCTCATCCACACCCCGATCTACTGACTCTAGAAATAGAGCTAGTACTTCGGCTGGTGGCCAGGGTGATCTGAGGGTGACGGTTTGGAACCAAGCGCCGACTATCAGTCCGTGCCCAGCCGCACCCTCTCCAATGCTGCAACCCGTGAGTGTTCAGGGGATTCCGGCGAGATCATCTTCGGGTGTCCCGCGGGTTTCCTTTGGCGCTCCAGAGGAAGATGCCATGTCTATTGCAGCATCACAAGGTGGGTCGGAGTCTGCTGGAAGTGAAGACTCATCACTGCTGCCGCCTTCGGGTGTGACTACAGTTGTGCCAGAGTCAGATCCAGAGATGACGGCCATGCTGTCTCGAGCCGCCGCGAGCATCGGGTTAGAGTGGAACCCTCCGCCCTGTCCCGAGCGCTCGCGGCTGGATGACTGGTATTTGGGTCAGGCTGCGGACCCCCGTCCGCGTCAGGCCCCGATACCTTTCTTCCCGGACGTGCATGATGAGATCTCGAAGTCCTGGAAGACTCCCATGTCTTCCCGTGACCGCTCGATGATCTCATCCGCCTTTCCTCCCCTCGATGAGGCCGCTGCCCGTGGGTACACTGGGCTTCCCCCGGTCGAACGCTCTGTTGCGATGCAACTGTGTCCTCAGAGCGCTTCGTCTCGTGGTGAGCCAAAGCACCCATCCAAAGCCTGTAGGTATTCGTCTACGTTAGTGGCGAAGTCCTACAGAGCTGCGGGACAGGCAGCCACCTCTTTGCATGCCATGGCCATTCTGCAGGTCTACCAGGCCCAGATGCTCAGGGACATGCACGAGGGTAGGACGGACCCAGGGCTCTTCAATGAGCTGCGTGCCGCCACCGACCTTGCTCTCCGAGCGACGAAGGTGACCGCACGCTCCCTGGGTTTGGTGATGTCCACAGCCGTGGTCCAGGAGAGACATCTTTGGCTTAATCTTGCCGATATGAAGGATGCCGAGCGGTCCCGGCTGCTCGACACCCCCATATCGCAAGATGGCCTTTTCGGCGGTGCAGTCGAGGACTTTGCCCAACAGTTCTCGACTGCGCAGAAACAGACTGAGGCTATCAAGCATATTCTGCCCCGACGGCCCGCTGCTGCCTCCACCCAGCCGACCGGGCAGAGTACTCAGTCTGTTCGCCGCCGAGGGCGCCCTCCTGCGACTCCCGCCCCTCCCGCCCGGCCCAAGCAGCAGCCTCCACCCGGGCCCGGTCGCGGAGGAAGTCGCAAGAAGGCGCCCCAGCCCTCTCCAGCCCCGCCCCCCGCTAAACGCCGGGCCAAGCGGCGCTCCTGAGACGGGCTGCTCAGGGATGACGTGTTTTTCTCAGGAGGTGGTTGCAGGACCACTCCTTCCCCCGGTGGAGGGCCGGGGGAGAATCTTTTGTTCTCCACTCCCCGCTGCTCACCCACGGGTGGGCAGTACCCTAATGTGGTTAAAGAAAGAAATAACACGTTCATCCCTGAGCACACAGAGTTCTTGGACGACACGGTGCGCCGCCCCCGGGCCGTGCACCCCTCGTCCTCCTCTGTCCCAGAGCCGGATGACAGTGCGTGCCGTCCCCGGACCGCACCACTCTCATCCCCCTCTGTCGCCAGACCCCTGGCAGAGCAGACCCCCGTGGAACGTTCGTCCTTCCCTGGTCTCCTCTGTCAGGGCGCGGTTCATGACTGCACCCCCACATCGGGCCGCTATGCCGTCCACGTCTGGGTCAGTCATACCGCCTCGCTGCCCCACCGACGGGAAGTCTGTGGTTCGCATGACCCCGCTGGTGCAGTCCTTGGGAGCTTGGTTAGAGCTTCCCAACCTGTCCCGCTGGGTCGCACGAACGATCAGGCTCGGCTACGCGATTCAGTTCGCGCGGTCTCCTCCCCGCTTCAGGGGAGTCCGCTCCACTTTGGTCGGTGGCAATGCCCCTATCATGAGAGCGGAGGTTGCTACCCTGCTGGCGAAGGGTGCGATCGAGACTGTCCCTCCAGCCGAAATGAGGTCCGGGTTTTACAGCCCCTACTTCATTGTCCCGAAGAAAACCGGTGGGTTACGGCCAATCCTGGACCTGCGCGTATTGAACCGCTCCCTTCACAGGCTGCCGTTCAAGATGCTCACCGCCAAACGCGTTTTCGAATGTGTGCGGCACCAGGATTGGTTTGCAGCGATCGACCTGAAGGACGCCTACTTTCATGTCTCCATTCTCCCTCGACACAGACCGTTCCTACGGTTTGCTTTCGAGGGACAGGCATATCAGTACGCAGTTCTCCCATTCGGGCTAGCCCTGTCCCCTCGCGTCTTCACGAAGGTCGTCGAGGCAGCCCTTGTTCCCCTCCGGGAACACGGGGTTCGCATTCTGAACTATCTCGACGACTGGCTGATTCTAGCTCACTCTCGAGATCAGCTTTGCGAACACAGGGATTTGGTACTCCGCCATGTAGCCCGTTTGGGCCTTCGGGTCAACTGGGAGAAGAGCAAACTTTGCCCCGTGCAGAGGATCTCTTTTCTCGGTATGGAGATCGACTCGGTCGCCATGTCCGCGCAGCTTACGAGCGAGCGCGCGCAGTCACTGCTGACTTGCCTGAGACAGTTCGAGGGCAAGAGTGCGGTTCCACTGAAACTCTTTCAGAGGCTCCTGGGGCATATGGCATCTGCAGCCGCGGCAACGCCGCTCGGATTGCTTCATATGAGACCGCTTCAGCTTTGGCTTCGCGACCGAGTCCCGAGGTGGGCATGGCAACACGGCACGCTCCGAGTACCAGTTACTCCGACCTGCCGTCAGACCTTCACCCCGTGGGGGAACCTCAGCTTTCTACGGGCAGGAGTGCCTCTGGAACGAGCTTCCCGGCATGTTGTTGTAACGACAGATGCCTCCACCACGGGCTGGGGTGCCATGTGCAATGGACGTGCTGCCGCGGGCTCCTGGACAGGACCCCACCGCTTATGGCACATCAATTGCCTCGAGTTGCAGGCTGTACGTCTTGCTCTGCGCCGCTTCCGGGCCGTGCTCAAGAATCAACACGTACTAGTCCGAACAGACAATACCGCCACTGTAGCGTACATCAACCGTCAAGGTGGTCTGCGCTCCCGCCGTATGTCGCAACTCGCCCGCCACCTCCTCTTATGGAGTCAGAAGCATCTGAGGTCGCTTCGAGCCATTTACATCCCTGGAGCCCTGAACTGTGCAGCCGACGAGCTGTCACGGCTTCAGCCCCTCCCCGGAGATTGGCGACTCCATCCCCAGACGGTTCAGCTGATTTGGGACCAGTTCGGGGACGCACAGATAGATCTGTTTGCCTCTCACGACTCGACCCATTGCGCCCAGTATTATTCCCTGACCGAGGGCACGCTCGGCACGGATGCTCTGGCGCACAGCTGGCCGCGGGGCCGCAAATATGCGTTTCCCCCAGTGAGCCTTCTTGCGCAACTCCTGCGCAAGGTCAGGGAGGACGAGGAGCAGGTCACTCTGGTCGCGCCGTACTGGCCCACCCGGACCTGGTTCTCCGAACTTGTACTCCTCGCGACAGCACCTCCTTGGCCGATTCCTCTGAGGAAGGACCTCCTTTCTCAGGGACGGGGCACCCTATGGCACCCTCGTCCCGATCTGTGGAACCTCCACGTGTGGCTCCTGGACGGGACGAGGCAGGTTTGAGTACCCTGCCACCAGCGGTGGCGGCTACCATCACTTCCGCTAGAGCGTCGTCCACGAGACACCTCTATGCGTTGAAGTGGAACCTCTTCGTCAGCTGGTGCTCTTCTCGCCGAGAAGAGCCCCGGAGTTGTTCGATCAGTGTTGTGCTTTCCTTTCTTCAAGAAGGGTTGGAGCGAAGGCTGTCTCCCTCCACCCTTAAGGTCTATGTAGCCGCTATTGCCGCACAGCATGACCTTATAGAAGGTAAGTCTTTGGGGAAGCATGACCTGATCGTCAGGTTCCTGAGAGGAGCGAGGAGACTGAATCCTCCTCGCCCTCCTCTCGTACCCTCTTGGGACCTCGCAGTGGTCCTAACTGCCCTGCGTAGTGCTCCCTTTGAGCCTTTGCAGTCAGTCGAGCTAAACTTCCTATCTATGAAGACAGCGCTTCTGACTGCATTGGCCTCCGTTAAGAGGGTGGGGGACCTGCACGCATTCTCCGTTGACGAAGCGTGCCTAGAATTCGGGCCGGGCTATTCTCACGTGATCCTGAGACCCCGGCTTGGATATGTGCCCAAGGTTCCTACCACTCCCTTCCGGGACCAGGTGGTGAACCTGCAAGCGCTGCCCCCGGAGGAGGCAGACCCAGCCTTGGCACTGCTCTGTCCAGTACGTGCTCTTCGCATCTATGTAGACAGAACGCAGTGTTTCAGGACCTCAGACCAGCTCTTTGTCTGTTATGGTGGGAAGCTGAAGGGAAAGGCTCTCTCCAAGCAGAGGTTGTCTCACTGGATAGTGGACGCCATTGCTTTGGCATACCAGCAGCAAGGTCGACCGTGCCCCCTTGGTGTGACTGCCCACTCCACCCGGAGTGTGGCATCCTCTTGGGCTCTAGCGCATGGCGCCTCGCTAACAGACATCTGCAGAGCTGCAGGCTGGGCAACACCTAACACATTCGCCAGATTTTACAATCTCCGAGTGGAGCCTGTGTCCTCTCATGTACTCGCTTCAACCAGCTAGTACCGGACCCGCTCAGGTGTCTTCGCTTGCTCGCCATTCCACTCTACGGACTGGATACGTGCGATATTCTCCTCAGGTGAGCTTCTCCGAAAGCCCTGAGCTCCTCCAGCACTCCTGACGTCGGCGCCAGTGTCTCTTGCCTGTGCGTCGGCTAGGTGCCTCCCGTGTGCATGGTACCGCCCGGAGCTACCCCCACATGTGTATTCCCACTGTAAGCCTCTCTGAGCATGTGTCTTTCCCTTGGCAAGCCATCTTGCCACCCCTGGGGTTGAAATATTCCACCTGCGGCTGGATACCCCAGTGATTCCCCATATGCATCCCTCGGGGTCATATGTGTATTTCTAAGTCCCCCCCTCTGGGTTGGCAGTAATTGCATACTTCCCTAAGACCTGGGATATGCTCCCCAGTGTACCTTGGTTTTCCTGTGTTAAATAGGAGTCCTTCGTCCGTGCTAGTCTCACGACAGGGATCTCAGATTTACGCAGGGCACTGGAAGACAGCTGAGAAGTGGCGTGATTAGACTGGTATCCCCATTCGTCGTCATCCGACGGAACTCGGAGTGACAACGAAAGGGAACGTCTCGGTTACGGATGTAACCCTCGTTCCCTGAGTAGGGAACGGAGACGTTCCGTCTTCCTGCCACTTCCGCTGTACCGCGGGGATCGCCTGAACTCAGGTTGGCTCCTCAGCGAAGAAACATGCCTATTTGCTGCCAGCGTTCTCCTTATATACTCACGAGGTGAGGCGGAGTTACGCTATGCAAATTCCGCAGACCCATGGCATTTCTTTGCCATTGGCTCGTTTTGAAGTATTTGAAGTTGATTGGCTTCTAAGCGAAACCCCCATTCGTCGTCATCCGACGGAACGTCTCCGTTCCCTACTCAGGGAACGAGGGTTACATCCGTAACCGAGACGATTTCTGTCCCTCCATTGACCGTACGAGCCTCTACCACTTTGTCGCTTCGAAAAGTTCCCAAAGAGATCATAAAACTAATCCTCTTTTCTGAAGAGACTCGATTGCTTTATATGATGAACAGATTGAATGTAGGCTTTTATTCACGTAAATATTGATCAGTGAACATAAACAGAAGCTCAACCGTACTTGCCTGACGCGCAAGAACAAACCTCTTGTGGAAGCTCAAACACGCTGCGTAACACGAGAATGAACCTCATTGGTTCTCACACGGCAAGCGAAGATGCTTGAGCCTCCGTTTATCAAATCTGATATGGGAGTTGAATAATGTTTATATGTGAATAAAAGCCTAAATTCAATCTGTTCATCATCTAAAGCGATCGTGTCTCTTCAGAAAATCCGGACTAAACCACTCGATTCATATGGCTTCGTTTTATGATCTCTTTATATACTTTTGGAAGTGTCAAAGAGTTGCATGGACTGTCAATGGAGGAACAGAAATCTCTCTCAGATTTCATGTAAATATCGTAAGTACGAAAGTCTTAAAGATTTGGAATGACATGAGTGAGTAAACCCTCAATGTCAGTCAATGTCAGTTCTATTGAAACTTGTGTGGCATGTAATTAAATATATTTGAAATTAACACATTAACTAGAAAAAGTGTGAAAAGTTTTAAGAGAGTGTACCTTCTAAAAGCCCACAGGGCCAAACCTGCCTTTACTTGAAGAAACACCCATAAATCATCTTGTACAGATCTAACCATCTAAACCATCTGCGCAACAGTCAGTTCATAGGTCTTCCCACAAACTCATGCAAACATAGAGATTAAATCAGACAGAAGTGCCGGTGTCGCGGCGCCAGTACCTTGATGATTTCCACCAGCTGATCTACTCCACTGTCGCCGGGGAAAATCGGTTGTCCTAGCAACAGTTCCGCCAGCACGCAGCCAGCTGACCACACATCTGCGGGGAAAGGGGGTTAGAGTGAGGGACATTCTTATTAGCCAGAGGTCAAGGACGCATACAAAGCAAAACTGTGCAGTATGAGCCTTCTATTCTTCTATGTTCGATGCATGTCCTTGCAAAGTCACAAATGGCACGTAAAACAAAAAAGCATAAAACAATGCTCAGAATATGAGTAAAAAATCCTTGAGCTGACAAGAGATACTTAGGCCACGTTTACACAAAGCCAGGTATTTAGAGAAACGATTATTTCCCCCTCTCCGTTTTCAATAATAACATCGTGGACACACCCGCATAAATACGCCGTCGAGCGCCATCATAACTATGCCAAACCTATGGGCGGCAGTGTAGGGAGAAGGATAAAGCCATGCAAGCCAATCAGAATCCTCAGAATCGACAAGAGAGAACCTAAAACCCCGTTTCTCCCAGTTGACACGACAACACATAACCGGCGTTTTCAGAAATCTCCACTTTGGCTGGAGTTTTTAGAAATAATCGTTTTCTGTGATAAAAACGGGGTTTTCGTGTAAATGAGAGGCCAAACCACAGGGAAATATCTGCGTTTTCTCTGCGTGTAAACGGGGCCTTAAAGGGATAGTTCACTTTGAAATACATTTTTGGTATGTTTTAGCTTACCTCAAGGGCATCCAAGATGTAGGTGTCTTTGTTTCCGCAGTAGTTTCAATTTTGATATTTTTAGGTCAAACCGTTCTTGTCTGTCAGTCATATAATGCAGGTCTACGGTCACTTCCTCAAAGAGCATGCACAGAGAAGTCCAAATTAAACATGATTTAATGACTCGTAAATGTAAGTACACATTGATTGGCTAAGACACGAAACGAGCGGTTTGTGTGAGAAAACGAACAGTATTTATATAGTTTTTACCTCTTGTAAACACAGCCACGTCCAAGTGATCTGAGGTCGCCGGCGCTTCGGTCTTTTCCGGAAATCGCCGGAAGTGATATCTCGCGCGTGTATGTCACTCATCCAATTGTTTTATTTTTTTATTTTATTTTTATTGTTTTCTTTTACAACGGTTTAAACATCCCGGATAAGCGCAAATTAGTACCATTTTAATTAGCCGTCTTACCTACAATCTCTGTTCTGTGTAAACAATGAGTGACGTACACGCGCGAGGTTTCACTTCCGGCGCTTTCCGGAAAAGACCGAAGCGCCGGCGCCCTCAGATCACTTGGACGTGGCTGTGTTTACAAGAGGTAAAAACTATATAAATACTGTTCGTTTTCTCACACAAACCGCTCGTTTCGTGTCTTAGCCCATCAATGTGTACTTACATTTACGAGTCATTAAATCATGTTTAATTTGGACTTCTCTGTGCATGCTCTTTGAGGAAGTGACCATAGACCTGCATTATATGACTGACAGACAAGAACGGTTTGACCTAAAAATATCAAAATTGAAACTACTGCGGAAACAAAGACACCTACATCTTGGATGCCCTTGAGGTAAGCTAAAACATATCAAAAATTTATTTCAAAGTGAACTATCCCTTTAAGCTCCATATAAGGCCTATTATCTGCAAGAATGGAAAAAACACTTTATTTCGATTGTCCACTTTAGACATTCAACTAACTATAAGTAACTTTGCAAGTACATATACACTAGCAGTTATTAGAGTATTAATAGACTGTTTGCTTAAAATCTGCACTTTATTTTGATGCCCCCAACAGACATTCCACTGACTCTAAGTGACTGCATGTACTTATTCTACTAAACCTAACAATCTACTAATACTCTAAAGAGAGTTAGTTGACATGTAGTTGCAAATTAATAAGAGTTAGCAGAACGTCTAAAGTGAACTATAAAAATAAAGTGTAACTGATGACTTTTCAATTCCTGATACAATATTTAGTAATCAAGGTGGCCACTATAATGTAATGTATAAACCTAATTGAATCATAGTAAATTTGACAGACAAAATTAATTTAATAAATAACAACTCAAATTTGACACAATTATTACTCAAAATGAACTAATCTGAAATATGACATTTCCAGGCGGTAGATTTTTTAACTACTATCACTATGAATCGGACAACCTGGTATGATTATTGCTAGTCCCACAACAGCCAAACATCAATTAAATATTTACCCTAACTGATACATCAGCGAATCCCCTTGTGAAAAAGAAGTGTGCTTAATTCTACTGAATGTGCACATGAAGTGTACTTCAAATCGTAAAAGAAAAAATAGTACTCGCATATAATATATTAATAAAATAATAGGCCACTTAATATAAATTAAAACTATAATACATTTGTATCTAATTGCAATTAACATGCAATTAAGTGTCCAAAAACATTACATTCAGTTCGCACTTAAGTATATTATTTACGTAATAAGGAAATACTCTTATCATACTGTAGTACTCATATAAAAGTATGCTTACGTGTACTTCTTTTTCACAAGGGTCACTATTGGTATGAATTTGCATATTTTTCATGATAAAAGATATTAGCCTAATGGAAGAGTAGTTTATTGAATGATTTGCATGGTAGATGTGGTTGTAGTATGATTGCAGCTCATATACCTATGCTGGAGGTGTAGTCGGTTGCTCCAAAGATGAGTTCAGGGGCTCTGTAGTACCGTGAGCATATGTAGGAAACGTTGGGCTCTCCACGTACTAACTGCTTAGCACTGTGAACAAAAAGACATATTTCACTGTAACTCTCTGATCCAGTACAGTCTCTGATCACACTCATCACAGTTTTAATCGAGTATGTCTATATTTGTATATAGCTTGTTGGCAGTATAAATCACCATTCAGTTGTTTGGGCCACTCCATGCATTTTCTCTGATTTGTTAAAACTCTTTCATTTACACTTGGCCTCATAAATGAGTCTCCACAAAACAAATATAATACTGATCTTTAATTCCCATGCTATATGCAAATTCAACAGAGTTCACATCAACCAAAGCAACAGATATGAGCTCCATTTATTTGATCATCAGCTAATTTCAAGTCTCGAAAGTGTTTCAGAGGGGATTTACACCTGGTCTTTTCACGATTGGCATGAAAAGGCCCTTTGTATGGAAATTACTTTTGTGATTCACAGAAAAAAGAAAAAGAAAGACAAATATTTGGAATAACATGAGGTCAAGTAAATGACAAAATGTTCACTTTTGAGTAACTCTAACCCCTAAAAGTGTTTGGACTAAACGTTTCCTATATTTTAGCTAAGAGCTATAAAGTCAAATGAAATCTAAAGATGTCTAGATGTTAAGTTGAGTTGTTAACATCTCAAGGTCTCTTCCAATATACACATCCTAATTCAAAGAAAATTTGCATTCTTTTTATCTAAGTGATCAGAAACAAGCAGCGGAATCACGTGCTCTCTTTTCAGTCAACCCACGTAAGGCAAGTGAAAAATGGATACCCGAATATCACTTCACCTAAAATCTTCACTAGTATCCTAAAGCAGAAAAAGTGGAAAGCAGGTTAAATGAAAAAAAGATGAAGTCAGCACAGATATCTCAGAGCATAGCGAGACCATCTGGAGGCCTCTGGCGAGGTGTAATATGGGATTATCAGGTTAAATGCAGTAAAGCGATGCTTTCAGTTCATAGATCCACTGGGGTCGGCACTAGACCTTTGAAAGGTAATCAGAAAGGGCATTGACTCCTATGAATTGGCTATCAAGAGATTACCAACTGACCTGCCAAAGTCACAGAGTTTAAGCACGGCTGTGTCTGGGTCCAGCAAAAGATTCTGGGGTTTTATGTCCCGATGGCAGATCCCAAAGGAATGGATGTAGGCCAGACTCCTGAAGAGCTGGTACATGTACAACTGCAGTGATGAAGACAAAGGAAATATACACAGGTCATTAGGTTAGAAAAGACGTCATAACAGGTCACAAATAATGCACACTAAAAATGTAGAATTTAATTTTGCCTTCATGGCTTGAAAAATCAAACGATTTCATGGAATGACCAAAGGTGAACATTTTCCAAACCCATTGTTCCAAATCCAAATGACTTTCTTTTTTTCGCCCCATGGAACTAAAAAGGTGAATGTTCGAACAATATCATGGCTGCTCTTTTCCATTTAATGAAAGTGAATGGGGACAGGTCCAAAATGGCATAAAACCACCATAATACCGTTTAAATATCATAAAAGAGGTCCATATGACCTTTCTGAAGTAATACAACTTTGTGTGATGTGATGCACAGACTAATATGGCAAATATGGCAACACTAACATCAATGGTGTTCCTCCATTAGAACTTCGATGGAGGAAAAGATTATTAGAGAACTATTATTGCTATGTTCTTCACCAAGAGTTATAGTCTTGACTTATAGGAATATAGTTCATGAGTCATATGGACTACTTTTATGATTCACTTATGGTGCTTTTTTGTCATTTTGGATCTTGAGAGACCCCAGACCCTTTCACATTATTTGGAAAAGAGTGGCCACAAAATTCTTTAAAAATTCCCCTTTTTAGTTTCATAGATAAAAAAAGTAACATGGGTTTAGAACAATATAATGCTAAAGAAATAATGACAGAATTTTCACTTTTTTGATTGAACGATTCATTTAAAACAGTGGTTCTTAAACTTTTTTTTTTTTCATTAAGACCCCTCATTGTCCACAACTATATTCAAAGGCCCCATAACTTTTCCAATTTTTTGTAATTTACTGGATAAGTATTAAGGATAACGTTTTTTATATATATATATATATTTTTAAATCTACCCGATAACATAGTTTAGAGCTTGACGTAACTAAATTCTATTATATATTGTATCTATAATATAGATTTTATCAACCCAATAAAGCTTACTGTAACATATTTGATATGCAAATTTCCAAGGCCACTGCCAACATGATCAAAACTTTGCAGAAAAAAACAAACTATTGCTCTTCGAAATGCCTTGTATCGTCTGATTGATACTTTTTAGCATGTAAAAGGTCTTTTAGTATAATTGTAAAAATGTCCCCCTTCAGGTCATTGCACACATGTCTTTTTGCTGTGAGATCTTTACAGATTTGTATAAACTAAACGCAAGAATAACTTTTATACTCTTAGTGATATTTTAAAATGAACATTCACTGGACTAAAGCAACTTAGATTTACCTGATTATCCAAACACCATTTAAAAAAAAAGTTCAAATTGAGTACCAAACACATCAGGCTTTTGAGGAACATTTATCTGTACATCTTTTACCATTGTACATATATACCATCAACCGCACAACATTGCATATTTTTGCTAAGTTTGGGCCTCTGAATAAATATGAGGTGTTTATTTACTCTTTTTGAGTATGAGCTCCATATTCTCCTATATGAGCCATAAAAGCCTGATGTGTCAAATATAATACAAAACATAAAATGCAGAATTATATATGGAAGTTTCTTGGAAGTTTTGCTTTGGTTGGCCACCACTGATTTAACATCTATGTGGAAGGTCTTCGCATCTAATTGTATCTGTACATATATGTATGTGTGTGTGTGTTTCACTCTTCATGTCACATCCTGCCAATAGCAGGAAGGATATAGCTCAGGACACAGCACAAAGCCATGATGATGTCATCACAGCAGTCAAGACACTGGTGACGCAAAACTGCACAGGAGGAGAGGGAAAAAATGCCAACACAAACTCGGCTGACCCGTAAACTAACCAGTGAGAAGGTTTTCACTCAGGATGTACACATCATTCAGAGGACACACAATAGAAACCATTAGGAATGATCCGCACCTTGACATAAACCATGGGAAGGGTCTGCTTAGCGCGGCTGTAGTGTCTCGCCACTCTGTACACGGTCTCAGGGACGTAGTCCAGAACCAAATTCAGATACACCTCATCCTTCTGTGGGCAGAGAACAAGAAAGCAAATACTTTAAGTCACAGAGTTAAAAGTGTCAGGCTTAATAGCACATACATATATAACTTTAATGAATCTATATATAAAGTAAGCTCAGTATGGAAGAGGATAATGACTCTGAGTCAAAGTCTACACTATAAATGTCCCATACGCCCCATCCCTCCATATATATCCATGATTGAACAGCCAGCTTACGAACTATAAAAAAGCTGCCATGGAAACGACACTAAAACAGCAGATTCTCTGGCATGATGTCATTGGGGACGTTGACTGCCATGCATTGTGTGGAACTGTGCCCGTAAGCGAGAGATAATTATGCCCACCATCTTTACATAACATAAATGCTCAGACGCTGAAGTCACATCTTCCTGAAGAACTAAAGGACAGGAAGAATCAATGGAGTGGCCTACAGGGCCACTCTGACCCTCATCTGATGTCACATCCTGTCTTTTATTCCCTTCTTCCTTCCTCCACAAGTTCAGTTGTGAGAGAGTCTATTTCTGCTGGACTTCACATGCCTGAGATCATTTACTTTAGGCATGATGACCCAAAAGGTCACGAGTCAAACTGACATTGCATATTCCGCTAAACATGTGAAGATACTTAAATCTAAGAATAAGATGTACAAATATAAAAGACATAGAGATATAAAAGGTTTAAAAAGATTTAAAATGTCGACAGCCTCAATTGCCATTACAAAAAAATAGCACTCCACATCAGAATTGGAAATTAACGGGGGCTTGGGGCAAAAGTACCACCAAAAACAAACAAAAATGTCCCCCAAATTCAATATAAAGGGGCAAAAATTGCCTGTTCACAATTAAACTAAATCTATTATGACTGTCGCAATTAAAATGAAATGTGAAATTGAATGAAAAGTGTTGACTATTACAACCAACCACATATGTATCTGTTGAGCATATGAATGCAATGGCCAATAAGAGGTATTTAGATTAGTGACCGTCCACAGCCTACTTTATATAGGCTGAGATAAATCACATTAATCTCATAACATTAAGCAATTGTTGTATGCCTACTTTGAGGAGTGTTAAGCATGCCATGTGTAAAAATTGCTCTTGTATTTATTGACCCTTAATTGAAAAGTTTAAAAATAAACTTTTCAATTAAGGGTCAATATATATATAAGGGTCATATTTATAAGAGTATATAACCATGCTCCGCACATTTTGTAATGTATCTTCTTTGGTGTTTCGCAAGAGCAAGAAAGAAGCTTTGGAACAACATCATGAGGGTGAGTAAACGACTCTACTATTCCTAGAACAAAATCTTGATCAAATATTTATAACAAATAAATATAATTAAAACAAATCTGGTTACAAGCAACAAACTATTATAGAACACACAATGAATTGGTTAGAGCCACTATTTTTCACTAGCCAAGTATTTTTTGTCTCTGATTGATAACTAGTCTCTAATAACGGATGTTTGATTTCCTGAAAAAAAAAAAAATGTGGGGGGAAAACCAACTGTGCTGTGCTGTGCAGCTAAAATTAGTCGTAGCCATGACTCACTCTCCTCCCTCGCTACAGCAACAGCAACACTTCCTCAATTACAGCCGATCGGAGAAGCTCCGAGGCGACTGAGATGCTCTCACCAGATTATATGGCCATCTGATTGGCTGCTGCTCGGTGGTCACATGACTTTCTGAGCATGTGATTGGTTGATCTGTAGCTCACGGCACAGTATCCAACATCTCCCACAGGTAGAGACTCGTCCAACCCCAGGCCTTGCTTTTACGGTCTCTTTCACAATATGCACTAACTTAAGTGTGTTTATTAATGTGCCTTTGCACAACTAGTAAAAATCAAGACAAATTATAACTACATACATATGAAGTGTGTCTAGTGAAGCTCCAGATTGGATTGGAAAGCAGTGCTATTCCAGTTACGTATTAGGAAGTTATGTAAATCTTCAGGGATGAAAAGAAAATTGTTCTGGTTCTGAATCTGGTTCCACTTAGCGATTTTGGTTCCTCAACAATTTAAAGGGGTAGTTCACCCCAATATGAAAATGTTCTCATCATTTACTCACCCTCATGCCATCCCCGATGGGCAGTATATGATTCTCTTCCTTCAGATAAACATAAGCAAATATTTTTAGGAAGATAACTCATCTCTGTGAGTTTATATCATGCTTGATGAGCTATCATGACAGTAATCCACACAACCCCAGTGGACGAATCAATGTCTTCTGCAGCGAAACGATAGGTGTGTGTAAGAAAACTACTAATATTTTTGACCCGTTTAACTATAAATCATTGCTTCCGGTCTGCTGTCATATGAGCGTTCACGTAAGGGTCCTTGTGACGTAAGTGTGCTGTGAAACTTCACAATGTCATCAATGCACTTTATCACAACGTCCTTCTCATGAACACTTCTATGACAGTATGAAAGGATCAAAGCAAAGAAAGATTTGTTGTCTAACAATCTGTTTGTCTTTATCTGAAGAAAGAAGTCATTTACATAGGGGATGGCATGAGGGTGAGGAAATGTTGATAGAATTTGAATGTTTCTTTCAGTGCTTGAAAGCATTGCCCACCGTCAATAGAGGGAATGCATTGACGTCACTTTCCCGCCGGACCGAGTGGCAAAAGAGCTGCTTCATGACTGGATTTAATAGAGGAAACTGCAAAAACACGAGTTATCAGTTTAAACTAAAGGTAGGACTCAATATAGTGTCCCTTACAACTAACTAAAGATCCAGTGATCCATGGATATTGAAATGCAGCAAGGAATCGTGTTTCCTGACATTTATATGTGCCTGATTTTGACGCCGGGGAAATACAGAAAGTAAATTTGCCTGTGAACGCTTCATATAAATACAATACAGCTAGGTCTAAATCCGGGTGATCACTTATATCAATGTTATATACACTCACCGGCCACTTTATTAGGTACACCTGTCCAACTGCTCGTTAACACTTAATTTCTAAGCAGCCAATCACATGGCGGCAACTCAGTGCATTTAGGCATGTAGACATGGTCAAGACAATCTCCTGCAGTTCAAACCGAGCATCAGTATGGGGAAGAAAGGTGATTTGAGTGACTTTGAACGTGGCATGATTGTTGGTGCCAGAAGGGCTGGTCTGAGTATTTCAGAAACTGCTAATCTACTGGGATTTTCACGCACAACCATCTCTAGGGTTTACAGAGAATGGTCCGAAAAAGAAAAAACATCCAGTGAGCGGCAGTTCTGTGGGCGGAAATGCCTTGTTGATGCCAGAGGTCAGAGGAGAATGGCCAGACTGGTTCGAGCTGATAGAAGGGCAACAGTGACTGAAATAACCACTCGTTACAACCGAGGTATGCAGCAAAGCATTTGTGAAGCCACAACACGCACAACCTTGAGGCGGATGGGCTACAACAGCAGAAGACTCCACCGGGTACCACTCATCTCCACTACAAATAGGAAAAAGAGGCTACAATTTGCAAGAGCTCACCAAAATTGAACAGTTGAAGACTGGAAAAATGTTGCCTGGTCTGATGAGACTCGATTTCTGTTGAGACATTCAGATGTTAGAGTCAGAATTTGGCGTAAACAGAATGAGAACATGGAACCATCATGCCTTGTTACCACTGTGCAGGCTGGTGGTGGTGGTGTAATGGTGTGGGGGATGTTTTCCTGGCACACTTTAGGCCCCTTAGTGCCAATTGGGCATCGTTTAAATGCCACGGCCTACCTGAGCATTGTTTCTGACCATGTCCATCCCTTTATGGCCACCATGTACCCATCCTCTGATGGCTACTTCCACCATGTCACAAAGCTCTAATCATTTCAAATTGGTTTCTTGAACATGACAATGAGTTCACTGTACTAAAATGGCCTCCACAGTCACCAGATCTCAACCCAATAGAGCATCTTTGGGATGTGGTGGAACGGGAGATTCGCATCATGGATGTGCAGCCGACAAATCTGCGGCAACTGTGTGATGCCATCATGTCAATATGGACCAAACTCCCTGAGGAATGCTTCCAGCACCTTGTTGAATCTATGCCACGAAGAATTGAGGCAGTTCTGAAGGCAAAAGGGGGTCCAACCCGTTACTAGCATGGGGTACCTAATAAAGTGGCCGGTGAGTGTATATATATCGTCAAAATCGTCCAGCCTTAAAGGGATACTCCACCCAAAAATGAAAATTCTGTCACCATTTACTCACCCTCATGTTGTTGCAAACCTGCATGAGTTTCTTTCTTCTGCTGAACACAAAGGAAGATATTTTGAAGAACGATTGAAACCAAACAGTTCTTTGACACCATTGACTTCCATAGTAGAAATAAAAATACTATGGAAGTCAATGGTGCCCCACAACTGTTTGGTTCCAATCGTTCTTCAAAATATCTTCCTTTGTGTTCAGCAGAAGAAAGAAACTCATACAGGTTTGAAACACCTTGAGGGTGAGTAAATGATGACTGAATTTTCATTTGTGGGTGGAGTATCCCTTTAAAACTTGTATCATTTTTGTCAGTGTTTATTTAAAAACGTCCAATTATGCAGAATATACGATGGTAAATATTTAATTGATGAGTTGTGAATACAATAATAACAACACAATATATAGGGTATGATTTTACCCCCAAATTCAGCATATTGACATAAAATGATAACTGCAAATCCACCTTTCAGTGCCTGGAGTTTAGTTGTTTCAATGAATTGCCAGGATCTATTTACGTCTCTGTTCTGTAGCTTTTGGCAGTCTGTAAAAATATACCTCAGACTTCTTGTCAAATGTAGTTGTACAGTCAATCGCAAAGCTCTTTCTCGTTTGAGATGTGTTTTGTGTGTTTTTCGCGATATTCTGAAAACAAATGCTGCCATTAAGTCTTTTTGTAACCGCAGTCACTCCGGCTGACGGTGACGTCCCACGCATACCCTCTATAGTGTGTTGTAAATACTAAACATAACTACCAAACAACATTATTATTGTTAACTTGTTCTAATGTTTTTTTTATTACATTTTCACTCCA